TCCTGCATGTTTTTAGTGCGACTCCGATCGCACCGCACACAAATCATATGTGATTGGCATTTCCTGTGCGAATCACATGCGATATATCGCACGGCACATATGTGAGCCCTGGCTTACCATTCTTTCTACCTGGAAACTTGAGAACGTCCATGGCATCCAAAAAAAGCGTCCTTTTAGGTCAAAAGCGGTTTTAGACCGGCTAGAAAACAGCGACAGTGAATTAGAATCGCTCGCAGAATTGAGCGATAGCGATTAATGGGGAAATTCGTCATCAGACACTGAAGTTTCCATGCAAAACAATGTACCGCTTTGACATTCAAAAATATAAAAAAAATCAGACCGCCAGGGAGGTTAAAGTGTATGTTAACCCTTTACAACCCCGGGTCACATCAAGTCCGACTTCAAAATTGTGCGACTTACAGTGAAGTAAGTCGGGTGAGATTTTAATTTCAGACGCGATTTGCAAGACATCTGACACAGGTGTCTATGCAAATCGCACCAAAAGTAGCACATGTACTACTTTAGAAATCGGTGTGACCAAGTCAGAACCGCATTGATATGACCGCTGTAATTGGGTTTGACTTGGCATGCGATTTGCAAGTTGCAGGGCATGCGATCCATCCAATCTCGACCTATCAATAAGGCCATGCAGGGAGGAGAAGGCGGGCAAGGCTGCGATGTCACAGGCTGAATAAGGATCACGCTTTCCCGGTCTTTCCAGATCTGAGTAGCTGTCCTGACTTTCCCAGTCCTAGGGGCAAGAAGTCGCCCAAACAAGCGCCTTCCTAGCATCATGTGACATTGGGAAAAGTAATGCACTGGGGCCCCTACCAGCCTACATCAGGTGTTTGCATCAGAGTGCCCCCTTACATTAGGTGTCCCCATCACAGTGACTCCATACATCAGGTTCCCCCATCACGGTGCCTCCATACATCAGGTTCCCCCATCAGGGTGCCTCCACACATCAGGTTCCCCCATCACGGTGCCTCCATACTTCAGGGTTCCCTCATCACGGTGCCTCCATGCATCAGGTCCCCCCATCACGGTGCCTCCATACTTCAAGTTCCCCCATCACGGTGCCTCCATACATCAGGTTCCCCCATCACGGTGTCTCCATACATCAGGTTCCCCCATCATGGTGCCTCCATACATCAGGTTCCCCCATTACACTGCCTCCATACATCAGGTTCCCCCATCACGGTGTCTCCATACATCAGGTTCCCCCATCATGGTGCCTCCATACATCAGGTTCCCCCATCATGGTGCCTCCATACATCAGGTTCCCCCATTACACTGCCTCCATACATCAGGTTCCCCCATCACGGTGTCTCCATACATCAGGTTCCCCCATCACGGTGCCTCCATACATCAGGTTCCCCCAGCACGGTGCCTCCATACATCAGGTTCCCCCATCACAGTGCCTCCATACTTCAGGTTCCCCCATCACGGTGCCTCCATACATCAGGTTCCCCCATCACGGTGCCTCCACGCTTCAGGTTCCCTCATCATGGTGCCTTCATGCATCAGGTTCCCCCATCACGGTGCCTCCATACATCAGGTTCCCCCATCATGGTGCCTCCATACATCAGGTTCCCCCATTACACTGCCTCCATACATCAGGTTCCCCCATCACGGTGTCTCCATACATCAGGTTCCCCATCACGGTGCCTCCATACATCAGGTTCCCCCACAGCACGGTGCCTCCATACATCAGGTTCCCCCATCACAGTGCCTCCATACTTCAGGTTCCCCCATCACGGTGCCTCCATACATCAGGTTCCCCCATCGCGGTGTCTGCATACATCAGGTTCCCCCATCACGGTGCCTCCATACATCAGGTTCCTCCCCATCACAGTGCTTCAATACATCAGGTTACCCCATCACAGTACCTCAATACATCAAGGTTCCCCCTCATCATAGTGCTTCCATGCATCAGGTTCCCCCATCACGGTGCCTCCATACATCAGGTTCCCCCATCGCGGTGTCTGCATACATCAGGTTCCCCCATCACGGTGCCTCCATACATCAGGTTCCTCCCCATCACAGTGCTTCAATACATCAGGTTACCCCATCACAGTACCTCAATACATCAAGGTTCCCCCTCATCATAGTGCTTCCATGCATCAGGTTCCCCCATCACGGTGCCTCCATACATCAGGTTCCCCCATCACGGTGCCTCCATACATCAGGTTCCCCCATCACGATGCTTCCATACATCAGGTTCCCGCATCATAGTGCCTCCATACATCAGGTTCCCCCATCACAGTCCCTCCATACATCAGGTTCCCCCATCACAGTGCCTCCGTGCTTCAGGTTTCCCCATAACAATCAGCACAGTGTTCTGTAGGTCCCAAAGCAAGAGTTGAGGGGACCAAACCTGACCACACTAACATGGATGTTCTTCTGAGGTTAGCGTGGTCAGAAAAGAGCAATACAGCATAATGGGGGCTGGTAGAATCACCAAGTTTTTAGTTGGGTTCTCACATTTATAAAAAAAATTCTCTTTTTCTAAGGTAGAGGACAGAGGGATTCATTCACTCAAGTTGATGATTTTACTTCTCCACACACTTTAAGTTCCTTATTATTTTAAAATCGATTCTTTGTGTTCTGCAGACAGTTTCCTGTTGTATCATGAATACATACAAGATACATGAGGGGCAACGAGAAACATGGTAATGGAGAAGAAGTCACCATAAATCCCAAAATACACAATAAATGTCTGGCTGAAAGCCAACGTGCGACTTCTGTATCGATAATGTTACAATGAAACAAGTTATTCCAGTCAACTCCAACAATAAAAGTCATTCAGAAGAACCAAGTGTGTGACCAACTCTTCATGGTCCTTATTTCCCAACAGTTGTCCCCCTGTAGATGGTAGTCTTCTGGGGGGGTTGGTTAGCTCAGTGGTAGATGCTCGTTATAGTAAAGTCCATGCCCGTCTGAACTGTGTTTCAAGGACCTGGCAGCCCACTTTGATTAAATATAAGAAGTTCAACACAAACGGATTGCCATCTTTCACTCCGAAACATCATTGATAGAAAATGCCGAGCCACCTGGCTCTCCTGTCAGCAGCACTGCTGCTCACTCTGGTCTCCTGGACCATGGGCTCCTCAGGTTGCCTCACCCTATGCTTGCAGCAACTCACTACACGGGCCCCACTTTTGGCTGCTGCATAGAGTTCTCCCAGCACCCCAAGCTCTCCCACATCTCAGAACACAGGACTCCCTCCTGCCCACTATGTGGACTTGATAGTTGTCTCAGCTTTCTCAGTCTCTCAGGACCCATGTAGCTGTCTTGACTTTCCCAGTCCTATGGGCAAGAAGTCTCCCAAACCAGTGCCAACTTAATAGCATCCTGGGTCCCTGGGCAAAGTAATGCACTGGGGCCCCCTACCAGCCTACATCAGATGTTTGCATCACAGTGCCCCCTTACACCAGGTTCCCCTATCACAGTGCCTCCATACATCAGATTCCCCATCACAGTGCCCCCTTACATCAGGTTCCCCTATCACAGTGCCTCCGTATGTCAGGTTTCCCCATCACTGTGCCTCCATACATCAGATTCCCCATCACGGTGCCTCCATACATCAGGTTCCCTCATCACGGTGATTCCGTACTTCAGGTTCCCCCATCACGGTGCCTCCATACATCAGGTTCCCCCATCACGGTGTCTCCATACATCAGGTTCCCCCATCACAGTGCCTCCATACATCAGATTCCCCCATCACGGTGCCTCCATATATCAGGTTCCCCCATCACGGTGTCTCCATATATCAGGTTCCCCCATCACAGTGTCTCCATACATCAGGTTCCCCATCACGGTGCCTCCATACATCAGGTTCCCCCCATCACGGTGTCTCCATTCATCAGGTTCCCCCATCACAGTGCCTCCATACATCAGGTTCCCCCCATCACAGTGCCTCCATATATTAGGTTCCCCCATCACGGTGTCTCCATACATCATGTTCCCCCTTCACGGTGCTTCCATACATCAGGTTCCCCCATCGCGGTATGAATCCGTGATGGGGGAATCTGAATCCTCTCTACAGCAGAAGCAAGCTGCGCCTTCTGACAGGAGTGACACTGCAGTTAGTCCATTCAAAAAGGAGCGGCACCAGCAGCCAAATTGCTAGTGCTCCCTCCCGACACAGCTACTGCCCCCCCCTGTTCTGACGCTAATCCCGGGCCCCCCTACATCTGTGGCCTCTATTCGGTGCTCAGGTGTGCCCATTCATTAAGATGGCACTGCCCTCAACATAGGGTCTTGCCTCCCCAGCAGGTCACCCCTCCCAGCTGGTGCTCACCGCTGTCTTCCCACAGAGACTCTTTCTCCAATTTGCAGCAACAGCAGCTACTCTGATAAGGCGTATCTCGACCCTGAACACGTGTGTACTCACCCAGGCAGCTGGCATGTAGCAAAGCCTGGACACAGGATTGAAGGTTCTGTCCCACCAAAGATACTGTAGAACCTACAATCTCCAGGCCCCAATCCAGGACTTCCAAACCTAGAGAGAGCTGAAAACAGCTTTGTCTGCTAACAAAACACACGATGGAGCCATTTTCTTCATCTCACACCATGGCAGGACCTCACAATGGGCATGTAGTTTTCCAAAAAGTTGGGTTTGGAAGGGTATTGGGGGAAGTAGGTAGGGAGGCAGGTAAGGTGAATTGAGATGGGGGGGAGGGGTGAGTAGGCAACTTGTAGCCATATCGGATTAGGGTGGTATGAAATTGGTATGTGGTAGGGAATTCCGTGCGCAAGATGAGAGTGAGGAAAAACCCTCTTTGGTGGCCCAAAAAGGTTGGTAAACCCATGAAGTCTTGCCTAGAATGCATCAAATTTTCTCCATCATCTTGGGTGGTATAGAATTGGTATGTGGTAGGGAATGCCTTTCGTAAGATGAGAGTGAGGAAAAACCCTCTTTGGTGGCCCAACAAGGTTGGTAAACCCATCAAGTCTTGCCTAGAATGTGTCAAATGTTCTCAATCATCTTCTTTCAGCCACGAAAGCCAACCCGTTCTACGAGGAGTGGTGGTTCCTGGTCGTCATCGCGCTCATTGGTCTCATCTTCATTCTTCTTCTGGTGTTTGCTTTGATCATCCGGGGACAGAGCAAGAAATATGCCAAAAAATCAGATTCAGGTGAGAGATTCGTCCCAGAAGCTCGAGTCTACCTATTGTGAAGCCGTTGCCATCACTCTCCTCCTTCCTGACAACTTCCCCTCTGTCCGCACAGGCTGTAACCCCAAAAATAGCACGCTGGGTCACGGTGAGATGGTCAGCCTAGACGAGAGCCGTTTCCCGGCGTTGGAACTGAACAACCGGCGGCTGTCGATGAAGAATTCCTTCTGCAGAAAGAACGGGATCTACACGAGGTGAGAAGACCTATGTAATCACACTGAGTTGTTGGCCGTCAAAGACTGGGACAGTGTCTGAGAAGCCACAGAGCCCCTTCCAGGGTCGTTCAATGGGCTTCACCAACGTGTCAAAAACTGAACACAGCAAGGAAATTTTTGTTTAAAGGAAAACTCCAGTTTAAATATTAGAAACCAAAGAACAAACATTTATTACATTGCACCAATTCTTAGATGTGGTGGCTGCTTTAGTTTTCTTTTTAGGCTTTTTTCTTCTGTTTTCATCTGGTGATCCTGTAAGTAAGTTTGCTGGTTTTTAACCACTTCCAGTCTGGACACTTTCCCCCCCCCCCCCCTTCCAGTCCGGACACTTTCCCCCCCTTCCAGTCCGGACACTTTCCCCCCCCTTCCAGTCCGGACACTTTCACCCCCTTCCAGTCCGGACACTTTCCCCCTTCTTCCAGTCCGGACACTTTCCCCCCCTTCCAGTCTGGACACTTTCACCCCCTTCCAGTCCGGACACTTTCCCCCTTCTTCCAGTCCGGACACTTTCACCCCCCTTCCAGTCCGGACACTTTCCACCTTCTTCCAGTCCGGACACTTTCACCCCCTTCCAGTCTGGACACTTCCCCCCCTTCCTGTCTGAAATTTGGATTCGAAAACAAATTCAAATATTGCTGATTTCCTTCCAAGCCTTTGTGTATGAGTGTTAAAATTCAAAAATAATAGAATAAAACAGAACAGAATAGACTATAAAAGAATAAAATAGAATAGAAAATAAAGGAATAGATTAGACTAGAATAGAAAAGAACAGAATAGAATAGAAAAAATATAATAGAATAAAATAGAGAGAATATACCCCGCCTTCCGAAATTTGAATAGAATAAAGCAGAATTGAATAGACTATAAAAGAATAAAATAGAATAGAAAATAAAGGAATAGAATAGATTATACTAGAATAGAAAAGAATAGAAAAAATATAATAGAATAAAACAGAATATACCCGCCTTCCGAAATTTAAATAGAATAAAGCAGAATTGAATAGACTATAAAAGAATAAAAATATAATAGAAAATAAAGGAATATAATAGATTATACTAGAATAGAAATGAATAGAATAGAAAAAATATAATCAAATAAAATAGAAAGAATGTAATACCTTTCTTCCGAAATTTGAACTTCGAAAAGAATAAAATAGAAGACTATAAAATAATAAACTAGAATAGGAACAGAATAGAATAGAAAATAATATAAAATAAAAGAATAGAATAGAATAGAAAAAAATAGGATAGAATATACCTGTCTTCCGAAATTCGAATTTCAAATAAAATAAATTCTCATTGGAATGCCAATTTGAATTTTTCGAATTCGGTCGAAATTGACTTCAATTTGACCGAATTAAAAAAAAAAAAAAGGAACGAATTGCGAAAAGGAATTATGCAAATTTAACGAAACAAACTTATCTAAACAACAAATCAAAATAACAAATTTTTTCGTTCTGCACATGTCCAATCTGAATCTGATTGGCGGATGGGGGGGTCAGTTCTGGAGACGCGATTGATACGCGATATTGATACATTTATATAAACAGCGGATTTTGTCGCCCTTTTCCCGCAGTAGAGAACGGAATGAGGCGGAATGCGCCAAACAGCTACTGGGTTGCAGTGTGTTACCATCCGCCGCCGTCTGTTGCGTCACCCCCACCCCCACACGGGTTAATAAATCGTTCCTGTGCCGAGTGCGCCCACTCCGCGTTGAAGGGCCTGGCACAGAACGCGTCGCGGCACAAAGTGGCTTCTCCTTGTTGATATTCAGGTCTCGTTGCGCAGCGTTCAGCTCGGTCCTCCCGCTGGGCCGCGCCACAAAGACTCCTCTGTTAGGGACATCACAGTCCAAGCACTTATGAGCCGGAGAAGAAGAGAGGGAGAGGCCGGCTAGAGTGTCACCGGCTGGCATGGGCTCTGGGGGTAATTAACCGAGGAATTCTATTCCCGGGGCGGCGGGGGAGGGGCTGCCTAATGGGATTAAATCCCAGTTAGATTCCCTGAAATGTGTCGATTTCAGACTCAGAAGTTGTTAAAAATAATATTGTTTGCTGATCTTCAGGTGTTACTTCTGAGATCGGCTTGTTGGCTTGTCCATCCCCCGCCGACCAACGAACCGCTAAAATTGTTTAGGAGCCGCGGAAAAGCATCGGAGCAATTCCAGGCGAGCGCACAGGTCCTCTTTAATCTAAAGCCGAACTCCGGGGAAAGGAAAAATCCTCTCTTGTGTTGGGGCCCCCGCAGTGCAAGGGTTCAATTCTCATTTAGGTCCAGGGGATTCGTAGTGCGCACAGAGCAGTACACTTGAAATGTAGCCCCGCTGCCTTGGTCCCCCTATATGTAGGAACGTAGCCCCCCTGCCTTGGTCTCCCTGTATATAGGAATGCAGCCCCCCTGTCTTGGTCCAACTGTATGGAGGAATGCAGCTCCCCTGCCTTGGTCACACACACTGTATGTAGGAACATAGCCCCCCTGCCTTGGTCACACTGTATGTAGGAACGTAGCCCCCCCCCCCCCGCCTTGGTCCCCCTGTATGTAGGAATGCAGCCCCCCTGCCTTGGTCCCACTGTATGTAGGAACGTAGCCCCCCCCGCCTTGGTCTCACTGTATGTAGGAAAGTAGCCACCTTGCCTTGGTCACACTGTATGGAGGAACATAGCCCCCCCCGCCCTGGTCCCCCTGTATGTAGGAACGTAGCCCCCCTGTCTTGGTCCCACTGTATGGAGGAACGTAGCCCCCCCTGCCTTGGTCCCACTGTATGGAGGAACGTAGCCCCCCTGCCTTGGTCCCACTGTATGTAGGAACATAGCCCCCCTGCCTTGGTCCCACTGTATGTAGGAACATAGCCCCCCTGCCTTGGTCACACTGTGTGGAGGAATGTAGCCCCCCCGCCTTGGTCACACTGTATGGAGGAATGTAGCCCCCCCTGCCTTGGTCCCACTGTGTGTAGGAATGCAGCCCCCCCTGCCTTGGTCCCACTGTGTGTAGGAATGCAGCCCCCCTGCCTTGGTCCCCCTGTATATAGGAATGCAGCCCCCCTGCCTTGATCACACTGTATGTAGGAATGTAGCCCCCCCTGCCTTGATCCCACTGTATGGAGGAACGTAGCCCCCCCTGCCTTGGTCCCACTGTATGGAGGAACGTAGCCCCCCTGCCTTGGTCCCACTGTATGTAGGAACATAGCCCCCCTGCCTTGGTCCCACTGTATGTAGGAACGTAGCCCCCCTGCCTTGGTCACACTGTGTGGAGGAATGTAGCCCCCCGCCTTGGTCACACTGTATGGAGGAATGTAGCCCCCCTGCCTTGGTCCCACTGTGTGTAGGAATGCAGCCCCCCTGCCTTGGTCCCCCTGTATATAGGAATGCAGCCCCCCTGCCTTGATCACACTGTATGTAGGAATGTAGCCCCCCCTGCCTTGATCCCACTGTATGGAGGAACGTAGCCCCCCTGCCTTGATCACACTATGTGTAGAAACGGCGCCCCCCTGCCTTGGTCCCACTGTATGTAGGAACGTAGCCCCCCTGCCTTGGTCACACTGTATGTAGGAACAGAGCCCCCCCTGCCTTGGTCACACTGTATGTAGGAACGGAGCCCCCCCACCTTGGTCCCACTGTATGTAGGAACATAGCCCCCCCGCCTTGGTCACACTGTATGTAGGAACATAGCCCCCCTGCCTTGGTCCCACTGTGTGCAGGAATGTAGCCCCCCTGCCTTGGTCCCCCTGTATGTAGGAATGTAGCCCCCCGCCTTGGTCCCCCTGTATGTAGGAATGTAGCCCTCCTGCCTTGGTCACACTGTATGTAGGAATGTAGCCCCCCTGCCTTGGTCCCCCTGTATGTAGGAATGTAGCCCCCCTGCCTTGGTCACACTGTATGTAGGAATGTAGCCCCCCTGCCTTGGTCCCCCTGTATGTACGAATGTAGCCCCCCTGCCTTGGTCCCCCTGTATGTAGTGTGTGTAGGAAAATAGCCACCCTGCCTTGGTCTCCCTGTATATAGGAATGTAGCCCCCCTGCCTTGGTCCCCCTGTATGTACGAATGTAGCCCCCCTGCCTTGGTCCCCCTGTATGTAGTGTGTGTAGGAAAATAACCACCCTGCCTTGGTCCCCCTGTATGTAGGAATGTAGCCCCCCTGCCTTGGTCTCCCTGTATGTAGGAATGTAGTCCCCCTGCCTTGGTCCCCCCTGTATGTAGGAATGTAGCCCCCCGCCTTGGTCCCCCTGTATGTAGGAATGTAGCCCCCCCGCCTTGGTCCCACTGTATATAGGAATGTAGCCCCCCCTGCCTTGGTCCTCCTGTATGTAGGAATATATCTCCCCTGCTGCCTTGGTCCCACTGTATGTAGGAATGTAGCCCCCCCCGCCTTGGTCCCCCTGTATGTAGAAATGTAGCCCCCCCGCCTTTGTCCCACTGAGAATAAAATAAATAATATAACCGTCTTCCGAAATTTGAACAGAACCAGCTATTCTTCACAGTGAATTCGGATTGATTAAATATTTTCTTTTCAAATTTGATTCGAATACTTCAGATCTATTAGAAAAATATGAATCCGGTCGAAACAAATAAACGACATGAATTTCGTTACGAATCCAACTAAACAAAATCGGTAACTTAACAAATCGATCCAAAACCGAATGAAAAAGATTTTTTCCTTCTGCACGTCTCATTCGCAATTGAGCACTGCAGTGCAATTAGGTTTTTGTGCTGCTTTTCCCTCTTCCAGCCTGAGCTCTGCTGTACAGGGACTGCGAGGTGCTGACACCAGGCCGAATTCAGGTATTTACACGACTTGAATTTATGGAATACATTATGTACTAACAAAGTTTAAACAATTTGAACTGTGTGTGTGGCGGGGGTGGTTAGCACTTTTCTCCAATCAAGTCTTCCTGAAGTTGCTTACTCTTTTCAGGTCTCCACCCCGCCCCAGTCCTGGAAGCCTTCATTATTCAGATGAGGACGTAGCCAAATACAACGATCTCATTCCTACCGAGAGTGGAAGTCTGACCGAAAAGCCTTCGGAGGTATCCGATTCACAGGTGAGGGGGAATGGCATTTTTCGAGAGACCCGTCCCCGCCATCTACACCCATTGAGTGCAGAACAGCCGGAAATGATGGTGGAAGTCTTTGAAAGGTGGACCTGGGATTGCACGTGTACCTTTTGTTCATAGATGGTGAAGGCAACCATTCTGGTTTGAGAGCAGTAGGTCATCAAGGAGTAGACAGGTGCTGGTTATCCGGGAAGGGAGCAGACAATATCGATTGGGACAACTGTTCCAAATGGTCCAATTGGTCCCTAAGAAAAAGCTTGGCCAGCAGGTATCTGCTAGATCCCTCATTAGATGGATATCAGCTCCATCCAGACTCAAGTAGTCAGCTCAGCTCTTATATCAATTGGGACTTTTTTTTCCCAAATGGTCCAGTTGATCCATGAGAATGGTTGGCCAGCAGATGTCCATTAGATCCTTCAATAGATGGACACCAGCCCCATCCAGACTCAAATAGCCAGCTCAGGTCTTATGTGAAAAATATCAACTGGGACAACTTTTCCAAATTATTCAATTGATTCCTAAGAATGGTTGACCAACAAGCGTCTGCTAGATCCTTCAATAGATGGACACCAACTCAGATGTTTGGCTTAGATCTTATGTGAATAATATGAATTGGGAAACTTTTCCAAAAGGTCCAGTTGATCCCTGAGAATGGCTGGCCAGCATATGTCCACTAGATCCTTCAAAAGATAGACATCAGCTCCATCCAGACTCAAATAGTAAACTCAGGTCTTATATCAATTAATCCAATTTTCCCAAATAGTCCAATTAATCCCTGAGAATGGATGTCCACTAGATCCTTCATTAGATGAACATCCCCTCCCTAAGAATGGTTGGCCAGGAGGTGTCTACTAGATGTGTCAATAGATGGACAACTGCTCCATTTAGACTCAAATGGTCAGCTCAGGTCTTATGTGAATAATATCTATTAGAAATACTTTTCCAAATGGTCCAGCTGATTCCTAAAAATGGTTGACCAACATGTATCTGCTAGATCCTTCAACAGATGGACACCAACTCCATCCAGATTCAAATGGTCGGTTAATGTCTTATGTGAATGATATTAATTGGGACAACTTTTCCTGATGGTTTAACTGATCCGTAAGAATGGCTGACCAACATGTATCTGCTAGATCCTTCAATAGATGGACACCATCTCCATCCAGACTCAAATGGTTGGTTAATGTCTTGTGTGAATTATTTTAATTAGGACAACTTTTCCAAATGGTCCAATTGATTCCTAAGAATGGCTGTCCAACATGTATCTGCTAGATCTTTCAACAGATGGACACTAGCTCCATCTAGATTCAAATGGTCGGCTAATGTCTTATGTGGATGATATTAATTGGGACAACTTTTCCTGATGGTTTAACTGATCCGTAAGAATGGCTGACCAACATGTATCTGCTAGATCCTTCAAAAGATAGACATTAGCTCCATCCAGACTCAAATAGTCCACTCAGGTCTTATATCGATTAGGACAACCTTTCCAAATAGTCCAATTAATCCCTAAGAATGGATGTCCACTAGATCCTTCATTAGATGAACACCACCTCCCTAAGAATGGTTGGCCAGCAGACGTCTACTAGATATGTCAATAGACATTGAGACTCAAATGGTCGGCTCAGGTTTTATGTGAATAATATCAATTAGAACTACTTTTCCAAATGGTCCAGCTGATTCCTAAAAATGGTTGACCAACATGTATCTGCTAGATCCTTCAAAAGATAGACATCAGCTCCATCCAGACTCAAATGGTTGGTTAATGTCTTATGTGAATTATTTTAATTAGGACAATGTTTCCAAATGGTCCAGCTTATTCCTAAGAATGGCTGACCAACATGTATCTGCTAGATCCTTCAATAGATGGACACCAGCTCCATCCAGATTCAAATGGTCACCTAATGTCTTATGTGAACGATATTAATTGGGACAACTTTTCCAGATGGTCTAACTAACCTGTAAGAATGGCTGACCAACATGTATCTGCTAGATCCTTCAAAAGATAGACATCAGCTCCATCCAGACTCAAATAGTCCACTCAGGTCTTATATCAATTAGGACAACTTTTCCAAATAGTCCAATAAATCCCTAAGAATGGCTGAGCAACATGTATCTGCTAGATACAATAGATGGACACCAGCTCCATCCAGACTCATGGTCAACTAATGTCTTATGTGGATGATTTTAATTGGGACAACTGTTCCAAATGGCCCAACTGATCCCTAAGAATGGCTGGCCAGCAGATGTTCACCAAGTTCTTCAATAGATGGACACCAGCTCTCCATTCAGACTCAAATGGTCTGCTCATGTCAAAGTATTATGTGCAGCCTACCGGTGAAGCCATTTTTTTTGCTTTGCCAGTCACTGGAATCCTTCGCACTGGTATCTGACACCAGGTATGTTCTATACTGGGCACTGTGGTTCCACTGGCCAGCTGCTTGATCACTACCATCCGACATTACGTAGGTCCTATACTGGGTACTGTGGTTCCACTGGCCAGCTGCTTGATCACTACCATCCGACACCAGGTATGTCCTATACTGGGTACTGTGGTTCCACTGACCCGCTCCTTGATCACTACCATCCGACACCAGGTATGTCCTATACTGGCTACTGTGGTTCCACTGACCCGCTCCTTGATCACTACCATCCGACACTAGGTATGTTCTATACTGGGCACTGTGGTTCCACTGACCCGCTCCTTGATCACTACCATCCGACACTAGGTATGTTCTATACTGGGCACTGTGGTTCCACTGACCAGCTGCTTGATCACTACCATCCGACACTAGGTATGTCCTTTACTGGGTACTGAGGTTCCACTGGCCAGCTACCATCCGACACTAGGTATGTCCTATACTGGGTACTGTGGTACCACTGGCCAGCTCCTTGATCACTACCATCGGACACTAGGTATGTCCTATACTGGGTACTGTGGTACCACTGGCCAGCTCCTTGATCACTACCATGCCCCTCAGACATAATTTTGACATAGCAGCCAGTGGGTAGAACCACAGAGGAGGACCAGGCATCTGTCACACCGGGAAGTTCTGGATGCTCTCTTCAGCTCTTCACAAGAGTGAAGACCAGTTTCACAGGCGGTGGAACAGTTAGCTGAATTGAAATCACCGTTGATGTCAGTCCTTCTCCATGGGCTAATGGCTTGATTTTGTCTAGGGGTGATGAGAGCGGAGATATACTTATCTAACTTGCCGATCCTCCAAGCACAAGACCAATCCCTGCACCCCCCAGTCTTGTGAATGAACTGTTCCTGACGTCATCGTGCCCACAGACCGGCCTCCTGCGTGAGGACAACAGGGACAGTCCACCGCTGGACGTGGGGGAGCGCCGTTTTTGGGAGGATTGAAAGGACTGGGTAAGTACGGCCTTTCGGGGGCCCCCTGGACAAAATGATCAGTTAACCCATGCAGTGCAGGCACAGCTCCACTGCATAGGACCACAAAAAATTGCATGGAGTTCTGCTTTAAGTTTTTTGTCTGCAGGAAGAACTTTGAGTTCTACGGTCCCCTATGGTGCCTGCCTTTCTTGCCCAATACACATGAATACCCCAATTCTCATGCCTGCCCCAGCCGCCAGTACTGTTAGGGCTGTAGTAAGGGTAGGTGCCTCTACCAGAGATCATGTCCTATCTCAATGGTGCACATCCTGGTCCCTTTGGGTTGGTAATAAAATGGATCAGAAAGCGACGCCAGCAGACTGGTCTTTACTGACGAAATTGGCGGGATGGGAGATCATGAGATGGTGGATTAAGTCTTAGTGGATGGTACAACCTTCGGTAAGGATGGAGGGGGGGGGTGGTACTACCTTTTACCTGTCCTTTAATATAAAACGACTGCTACAGATAGAACACAATGGCCACCATTGTCACCAGTCTTCTGAAGTTACTGGGAGTTCCCGGTGTGAGCGCACATTGTGCAGGGTGTGACCGCCATGAACGTTCGATAAAAGCAGAGACAATACCGAACCCGTCATCACGGAAGTGACTTGATAAAGAAGATAGAAAGTCACCCACAAAAGTCCCCGACCCCCCACCCCCTCCTCGTAGAATAGTTCTCCAGGGCCATGGAGGACGGCTCAGTCTCGGCTGAGTGCAGAATACAAAGGACCCGGACAAACAGCGGTGTTCAGCCTAATCCCTCTTAACCCCTTCCTTGTCCTCCCTGGGCTGCACCAAGCCGCACCGCATTGTCTAGCCAGGAACTGCTGAGCCTTCAAGCGTGACACCTGCGAATTGCCTCACCTGGGAGCACTGAGCACCTCACCTGAAATCTGACCTCCTGACTTCTTCACTTGTATTAAGTCCAATTTCTCGGGGGGCATAGAAAAAGGTTAAGGAATGACTTCAGTGGAGTCACCATAATATCCAAGTTCCTAAATTAAAGGATCAGTCCACCCGAAGGAGGTAGTGTTTGGAGGATGCTGGAGCATTTGTTATACCTCTAGCAGCAGAGAGAGTTGGAGAGTTGAAACTACTGTGACTCTAATAAAGCTTTCTCCCGTGGTTCCTGATTTCCCAGCTTAGTACACCTACTGTGCCCATTATGAGGGGTTCCCACCATCTCTGTGCCAAGTTCCCAGTCAGTACACTCTTTGTGCCCATTATGAAGGGTTCCACCATCCCCGTGCTGAGTTCCCAGGTCTGTTCGCCTGCTGTGCCCATTATGAAGGGTTCCCATCATCCCTGTGCTGAGTTCCTGGGTCTGTACACCCGCTGTGCCCATTATGAGGGGTTCCTATCATCCCTGTGCTGAGTTCCTGGGTCTGTACCCCCGCTGTGCCCATTATGAAGGGTTCCCACCATCCCTGTGCTGAGTTCCCAGGTCTGTACGCCCGCTGTGCCCATTATGAAGGGTCCCCATTATCCCTGTGCTGAGTTCCTGGGTCTGTACACCCGCTGTGCCCATTATGAAGGGTTCCCACCATCCCTGTGCTGAGTTCCCAGGTCTGTACACCCTCTGTGCCCA